CAATGTTGAAAAAAACGCGTTAAGAGGCGTAAAATAGCGTTTAGCGTAACGTGGCGGTGGTTAAACGCGAGGTAGCGCTGTGAAATAGCGCAGTTAACAAATAACGTACGCCATATTCTTCGTAGCGTACGTTACGTGACGTTAATTCATAGCGTTGCTTAACCTACGTTATTTTGCTAAACCAGATTCTAACCTCATTCATCGTCTTCGTCTCAGGTCCTCTGCTTCTTCTCCGGTCCGCTTCTTCTCAGGTCCTCCGCTTCTTCGCCCGCCTGGATTTTGGGCATCGTCGCCCGCCTGGATTTTGGGCTTCGTCGCCCGCTTGGATTTGGGCTTTCGTCGTCGGAACTTAGGGCTTCGTCGTCGCTGAAATTAGGGCTTCGTCGTCGGGCTTCGTCGTCGGAACTCAGGGCGTCATCACCGAACTTCGTCGTCGCCGAACTTAGTTCAAAGGGGAACAAAGCCTGGGCGGTTGATCGAAGGAGAAGAGAGAGAGGACCCAAATTAAAGGGAAAGCAAAATAATAAAAAAAGCCTAAAACCCCTAGTTTTTTTAAGAGGCGCACTGAGAGGAGAGAGAGAGAGAGAGAGAGAGAGAGGGCGGGGGAAAGGGGCGCTGGAGCCTTTTGGCGTTATAAAGAGAGTTGTGGGAAAAGGCGTCGCTTTTCACGGTGAAAAGAGAAGAATATTCTCCCGATTTTACCCCCTCAGGCTCATGTTAATCTCATTTCCAACCACTAGCCCTTTTGTTCGTCCAAATCAAAAAGCGGTTTTGGTTAAAAAAAGAAAAAGGGTTTTTCCTTTGAGCGACGCGTGGTAAAAACCGTGTTGCTCGTCACGTGGCAAAACCGGGGATGTTTTTAGTAATTTGGTATTAGTCTTTTGAACTTGTGAGTTTTGATATTGAACAAATTTTCACTGTAGACCCAAACCAAGTTTTAATTACCAAAATCGATCTATTTTTTTTAATTACCAAAATCGATCCATTTTATGCCACGTAAGCTTAATCTCATTTTCTAATTAGTCGGGGTTGGCAACCCGACTGTTTAGGAGTTGTTAAACCCCAATTAGAAGCCTTAAACCCAATTTTTAATGTCCTAAACAGTCGGGGTTGCCAACCCCGACTAATTAAGAAATGTGATTAAGCTTACGTGGCATAAAATGGGTCGATTTTGGTAATTAAAAAAAAATGGGTCGATTTTGGTAATTAAAAAAAATGGGTCGATTTTGGTAATTAAAACTTGGTTTGGGTCTACAGTGAAAATTTGTTCTTTTGATATTCCCTCAATTTGCTCAAATATGTTGAAATTGGTCCTTCAATTAGATATTCTATTCAAAATCCTTAACCCCACGTTTCCGTTCATTTATTCTCAAACCGTTATTTTCTTTTATCAGATTATGGAGTCGGTCCGTATCAATTTCGTTTCAAACGAATTTTACATGACAACCAATTGACCATCACTTTTTACCACCACATCCATCCAAATATCTTTGATTTAGGGATAAGTAGCGGCACTTGAATGCCTTACAGCTTCACTCACTTTGCACTTAGATACCCCATTTTTTTTCTCCTCCCCGTTTGTTTCTCCTGACATTTATACACCCTCAGTTGTCTAAAATTGACATGTTATGTAGATTTGCACTCGGATGTTTTAATATAACAGTCACATGAGACTATTCAAGCGAAAGTGTCCGTATTTAAATAATAGAGAGTACTAATGGGACCATTAAAATAACTTATGGTTTATAAATGCCAAAAAAAAAAGTGAGTGTATATAGAAACAGAGTGGAAGTGTAAGGTATGTACGTGCTATTTAATGTATAGCCCTCAATCAATGACTCTCAAATAATGTAACAGCTATAAATATCAAATAACTCCTGAGAACAACAGGCAAAAGTATCCAATTACATCGCCTCACTTTCACCCTAACATACAATACTACCAGCTCCAGCAGCCCTCACGCACGTAAACAATTCATTCGACCACCATGTTGGTAACGGGTACAATTCACAATCTAGCTGGCTATCAATTTCCCTCTACCTGACATCTCAACCCACACATCGCCGTCTAAAAATCAATATAAACATAGTACACCAAGAATCATGATAAGTTTTGACACCAATTAGGAATGAAAAGAACGTCGCAAACCAGACACATAAATTACAAACGAATATAGCGCAAAAACAAGTGATAGAAAAACTGCCCTGGAGAAGAGAATATGATGATTCCAAATTAAGACAAGCCACAAATATCACAAAGGAGAAGATCACAGCTACACTCACGTAAAAAAAAAAATTATCTCACATCACCCTTAATAATAATAAATAATAAATCCACCATTAGCATCTTTCAAAACAAATGGGTTGGTTGATAGTTGATTCAAAGAGGTATTAACTTGAATATCAAAACAAGTAGTGAGAAATATTCATCTTACTACTAATAATACATCGGTGGTTGCCCTTTGATCGGTGGGGAACCACCAGAAGGGCGAGCACATGGTGGAATCGGGGAATAAGGAGACATCTGCTGTGAAGATGCTTGAAGATAATCAGCTGAAGTAGCAGGAGGAGCTCCAGAAGTTGCGTACATAGGCATGGATGATGATGGTTGCATATAAGCTTGGCCCGGGTATGCCCCCGGCGCTGGAGGGAACCCAGGCCTGACACCTGGCATGTTCGGGTCCCAAGTTCCCATGGGCTGTTGTTGTGGAATGGCCTGCCAAGCTGGAGCAGCAGTTGGCATGCCTGGAGCCTGAGGCACCGAGAGCAGACCAGTATCAGGCATTGTGTAGTCCCTGCTCTTATCACCATGTGCCTGTAATACAAAAGCATTGAATGTATTAGAAAAAATGGTTACATGAACTGAAAGCACGGTGTTAAGGAACATACATTTGATCTGAAGAAATAAGCGATGATGGACCAAATGCTACTTTATCCTTTTTCCTTTTATGTGGACATATCTCCGGTCTAAATTTTCATTTTTTTAATATTTGTATTTTGCTTCATGGTAACTTAAACTAATACTTGTACCTTTACATTGAGATCAGTATGACGAGAGTATGACAGATGAAGCTTACAGTAGCCACCATCATATATGCAGTGTCCCTCTAGAGCTTCTTTAGCAACTGCAGCAGTAGTCACATCTGGAAATAGCAAATGCATGCAACAGTTTAGCACATTGGAGGAAAGGAAATCATTACGCAGCAGACAATCTTTTATTCTGCTTGCAGCATTGGAGGAAAGGAAATCATTACGCAGCAGATAGAATCTTTTATTCTGCTCGCAGCCTTGCACAAAGAGAAAGAGGGAATACATCTTACTTTGATATATTAAGGGCAAGAAAACTAAATAGTCTAAACATGCAGAGTGCTAAAATTAAGGTGGAAAGGTGCTTTCACATAAAGAATATCAAATGAGAACATATTTTCCCCTTAAAAGAAGTCAGAACGCCACTACGGACTATAATGACATTGAATGATTACAAGAAGGCACAGGCAATTTGCATCAGCTAAAACAAGTTAAGATCTGTATCTCAGAAGAACTCCAACGTATCATAATTCCGACAAGAGCTAGTTATACGCGTATGTCAAGACATGCAGATGATGTCAGCATGCATGGGCCTAGATGACAATAAACTTTAGTGGCTCCAAATTGCTACAGGGGAACACTTTAATAGACTCTATAAGCTCTAAAGCCAATTAATAAAAAAAGAAGAAACATAATATGGATTAGAATAACTTAAAAGCATGACAAATCAAAGACTTCATAATTATCGAAAACAAATTCTAAGTTACAAACATTTACATATACAGACATGAAAACTCCAGGCACACATACTATAAACATACAGATATGTACTACATATGCATGTGACACCAGGCACACATACATAATGCACACATACAGATATGCACTGCCTATACATGTGTGCACCTGCATGTGTGCATATGTATGTCGCTTATATATACAAGTAAAAATAGATGCAATAAAGATGGATTGGTAATCCAAAAAAAGATTAAAAACATAACATAGAAGCTATAATAGTGAGAAAAGAGAAGCCGAATGCAGTACATCAAGGGAACCTGCTACTCATGTAGGTATTTCATGATATTAAAAGCAAAAAATGCAAAGTTAAGAAAGAAGTCGGAACAAAACGAAGTCAAGTAGATACTTAAGACATGGCTGTTCACAATGCCAACCAATAAGGCAAAGAGAAGCAACCAAAATAATAATAATAATAAATAAAATGAAGAAGAAATGTTAGGAGAAATATGACAGAAATAGAACTTTTTTCTCACCAGTATATTGAACCAAGGCTTGCATTCCACCATTCTTCTCAAACATAGCAATTTTCTGGACGGTTCCAAATGCTGAAAATACCTGCAATCAAAGTAGCATAATAATCATCCAGCCAAACCAGAGGGACAAAGCCAAAACTAAGCAAACAAGAACTCTTACAGTGTGAATGACATCTACTGTTACAGCATATTGCAGATTTTCTATGGAAGCGAGGAGCACATTACTCTCAGGCTCTTTTTTCTTTCCATCAGGGCCAAGTGTAGGCTGGGAGAATAAAACAACTAGTGAGAAACTACAAAATTATACAGTAACAAACAGCTCATTTTATCCAGAAACCAACCTGTAAAGTACCCTCAATCGCAGAAGGATTCACGGGCAGATAAGGATTTGTGTAATCCCTGCAAAAGGGAGGAACATTCAATGGCAAAAATAATAATTCCAAGTGCTAGATAAGGATTTGTGTAATCCCTGCAAAAGGGAGGAACATTCAATGGCAAAAATAATAATTCCAAGTGCTAACGTAGATGCAAACCTAATGCCGCAAAAGGGAGGAACATTCAATGGCAAAAATAATAATTCCAAGTGCTAACGTAGATGCAAACCTAATGCCGTATCTCAATTCTACTTTGAAACCATAGTAAGGGCTAAAGATGGAAGAAGTAAAATAATAAAACTAATAATATCAAAACTTGACTAGACAATTATGCATATACTTCTGAATAAACATCCTAAGGAAGGATCCAAATCAAAATCCAAAAGATGACCATTTCCAGTGAGAAATGCAGACAAACCCAAGGCAGTATCTCAATTATACTTTGAAATCGTAACATCGGCTAAAAGATAGGAGAAGAAAAATAATAACACTATTTATATCAAAACTTGACAAGACAATATGCATATACTTTTGAATAAAAATCCAAAGAATCCAAATCCTAAAGATGTACATCTCTGAATAAAAATCCTAAGAATGCAAATCCTAAGGATGGACCAATCTTTTGGATTTGAAAAAGGAGGCCTCAACCATTAGGCCTAAACGAGGAAATGCGACCATATTCCCCTTTTTTGTTAACTTTACACTCAATCTTTTAACAGGGAATCAGCTTGACTCCTGTCTTTCATTCTCAGAAGTACAGCAAAGAGTGAACCAAGACAATTACACATTATCATCAGGAAGCGGTAAAATTTTTGTAAAATTGCATGTACAAATTTGTATGGTTCATGAATTTGCTTTCTGTTATCCTACATGACTAACAGCCTCCATGTTTGATGCAAGCGTCCATTGGCGATGATTGTCTTGAAAGACTTTTAACATAAACACCAAGGTGATGTTATATGAAGTTTACTACCAAATTAATAAATGAAGCAGATCTTCTAATTGAATGCAACCGATCAATAATTTGGCTCCAAATGCCGTCCCATGCATAGAGAGACAGTCAGCTTAGTGAAAAAGATGATGAAGGCTTTAATATCAACTACATACAAATTCATACTTTTAATCACCTCTAATTCTAGGCAAGTACGCAATTTCATTTGCATACATAGGGCACAATCTTGCGTAAGAAATTAGGCTCCAATAATATATCAGAAATTCTTTCAAATGTCGGTCAATATGTTCAAGGAAACAAACTTAAAGAACACCCCAACTGAGATATCTACTTAAAAGCTGTCACAGTTTAGAAATGACCTCTCTTTCAACCTTCTTTTTTTATTTTTTTAATTTTTATTTTTTTGGTGCTTTGAGGTGTCCTACACCAAAGTAGATATGGTATTATAAAGAAGATGCTCAAAACAATTCAGAAATGGAAGCTATCGAGTAAGGAAGTGCTCCTGTTTGGTCATCCAAGTAACCATTCAGAATTGAGGACATCTGCAGAAGTGGTTGATCACACAGCACAGAAGAGAAAACAAATAAACAGAAAATTTTCACCTCAAAGCACGAAACAAATTGCTGTTTTCCCCTTCACATACTTGGTGCCTTTCATATTACATGCAGTATCATAAATTCCCAAAGAACTTATATCCTTATCCAACGTGAGATCCATGAAAGGTGCAAAAATAAACGAGACTAGTGGACATTGGATAACAATCAAATTATAAATAGAAATACCCAGTACGCAGAAGTTGGCATATTAACATCAAGAATATGCCCGGGATAAAAATAAAAAAAAGAACTGAGACCCTGCAATGATAACCTTATGATAACTCACAGAATTCGAGCAAATACAAGTGAGTACATTAAACGATAGCTATCAGTCTCCGTACACATGCAAAATGCAGTGAATAGGCAATTTCATTAAGAATATTTGATCTCCATTGAGTTCTATCAGTCTCCGTACACATGCAAAATGCAGTGAATAGGCAATTTCATTAAGAATATTTGATCTCCATTGAGTTTATGAAAACAAGAAGCAGATAATGCAGTGAATAGGCAATTTCATTAAGAATATTTGATCTCCATTGAGTTTATGAAAACAAGAAGCAGATGCCCAGAAATCACCATGTAAAAGTCAGAAACAGTAACCAAGGTAGCCAATATCTCACTGTTTGACATTGAGAATGTACTCTTATCGCAGGTATAGAGACAGTTAATCTTTAGAATCACCCAACATAAATTGCACATTATGTGCACTCAGATTAACTAAAGCTACTGCACAAGGTATTTATTCTGGTAAATGTTTCTTTGATTAAGTGATATGTGAGCTGAAAAGAATACTAGCTTGTCATGTCATCTAATAATGCATTCAACAAATACATCAAACCATGGTCAAGAGGGAGGGAAGTTACGAAATTGAACCTGGCATTTAACTAAGTAAAAGACATCAATAATCCTGGTAGGCTGCTCTGTAATCCATATATGAGAGTACGAAAATTGATCAGCTAAAGAAAGGATAACTCAGTCCATAGTGTTTTATTAGGAAAAACAAATTTAGATAAAAGGAGACTCTGATTTCCCATATATTCTAGTAGAATTGCTTAATGCACATGTATATACCTGCTGCGATGAGACTGAAACTTTATGTTTAAATCAGTGTGAGCAGAATATGAAATTCGCAAATGGCATGAGGTAATATGTTCAGGGAGTAAATATCTGGAGAGAAACAAAAAAAAAGGTTGAGTTAGCATCTTCATAGAAACAAAAGATTTTAATCGCCTAATAACTAGAAGGGAACAAAAGAAAAAAAAACCTTGGGATGCTTCTTCCATCCAAGGCATTTCTGGCTGATGCTGCTGTTTCGGCATCAGTGAATTGGATTAATGCCTGCGCATTTAGGTGAATCTCAACACATTAGTATTATTCAAATGCTTACAGGAGGTTTTTATCAGAGAAGACAAAAATCAATCACCTGAAACCCCGCAGCCTTCTCAAAAGTTGCGATTTTATGCACAAATCCAAAGGCTGAGAAGACCTGAGAGAGTTTTTGAGTTAGATATTTGCCAAAAAAGCAGCAGTCGTAATAGGTATTCAATCAATCTAATGATAACTTTTAACAGAGGTCTAGAAGCGCACGATGGCACCTGTAGGTAAGTGCATTGTATTCATCAAACTCCAGTGCACCACAAATTGTGCAATATATACTTAAAAAGATAACCATTCATGGATCATACACACTCACTGCTTTCAACAGAACAAATTTTAACGAATAGTAAAACAACAGAGAGCACATATTCCCAGAGTTCATTGTTAAGAAAAATTTGGTATCTGAAGAGGAATATAACAGAACAAAATTTAATAAGGTAAAAGAACAGAAAGAACCTACAAAGTTCATTGCTAGGAAAATTAAAAAAAAAAGGTGCCTGGTGGGGATAACGACAGATGAAATTATAATGAGAAGAAAACAGAAAGAGCATACACAGCACATTGTCAGGAAAAAAGTGCCTGAAGAGCTGAATAACAATGGAAGGTACAGATTTTAGAATATTAAATTATGATAAAATAAAATATAATGAAACATAAAATAGATTCTGCAGTAATTTTAACCAAAATGGATAGGTCAAAAACAAAAAGAAATGAACCAAGAACGTTTCTGAAAACCCAAGGATTAGAAGTTTAACCTCAAAAATGGCAGCAATACACACAACGACAGTCCCCTACAACTTAAAAAGAAAGATGATCAAAAAGTTAGAAGGTACCATTATCATGATTAAGTTTGGAAGTTCAAAATCGGAACAGTCAAAGTATGAGATAGCAAAACAAACATGGTATCTCTTCGAATGCAGAACGTTGACAACGAGAGTTCTCCAAGTTAATATGGACCTGCTGATCCATGCACAGCATGTTACAGGACATCAAATAAGGCAGATCTCATCTAGAAACAATGTGTTGGCAAAATCCTACGACTACATTCAGCTTAGGTGAAGCCTACTTAACCTCAATAATAGATAGTTAAATATGCAAGTGTTCAATATAAATATTCCAAAGTAAATCAAATATAAAGAGGGTAAGCTTACCAGATGAATAACATCTATGCTCACATCACCAGCTTCAACGCCCTCAATTGTAACAAGAAGCACGTTGCCAGCAACATCTCCAGAACTCTTATTGTTCACAATTTCCTGTCGGTTTGAGTACTGGATGTAGACAGTTTTGCCACGGACTTGTGCAGGCTCAGACGAAGAAGCGTAATATGAAACCATCGAGATTGCTTGGTTAAGGTCAGACTGAAACGAACAACAAAAATTCTGTAAGTAAAAGAAGCAATCAGTGTTTTAAAAGCAAAAGGCAAGGCCAAGGCAATGAGGTCCTAAGTTGCCTGAGGCGAGAGGTGCCAAAAAAGGCGATCACCCGAGTGAATCAAGGCGATAAATATTCAAAAAATTCATAAACATTACAAATAATATGCAAATATCAATAAATAGAAACAAGAAAAAATAATCACAGCCAAAATTTCAAAGTCACAAATCTAATAAGTCATTAACCATAACAAATACTGAATAGTAATATTAACTACTAACTACTAACATAGACAAGTAAGCGACAATATTTGAACTTTAAGGTTCAAATTGTGGCATATCCTCAAAATGATATAGCTAATAAAGTACATTACACCAGAAAAATCAACCAAGAAAAGAAACACAAAACTTCACTGATGAAAACAAACTTGACTTTATTGAACACCTTTCACACCTTTAAAATTTTGAAACAGAGACACACACTTCGTGCCTTGAATCATATGCCCTAGGCGAGTGCCTGAGGCACCAAGATGAGATCATGAGGTGCTAAGGCGAGCTCTTGAGGCGCCAAAAGGCTCTCGCCTTAGTAAACTTCATCGCCTGTCAATACGCAAGGCGCTAAGTTACAAGTTCGCCAGGGCCTGAGGCGCTAAAGTGCATCGCCTTTAAAACACCAGAATCAATGCAACGTTATATGTATATGTTATTTTTAAAAATGCAATATCAGCCTCAATACGATGAAAGTTTTCAGATTGCACTCACATTTGACTTGAGTAATCCGTAGATTATAGTAGCCAAAATTAATACATAGGCGCCTATTTACACATATAACCCATGTACCCAAAAAACTAGACATAAGTGTCTATGTTCCACAAGGATCGGCAGTTGGTTTTTGCTTTTAGCCTAGGAAGCCAAAATAGTAAACTCTAAACAGACTCCCAGATGTTGGATGATTAAAATTAACTGCAAGGCAATGATCATGGCCATTCAGAATTTTTACCCCGTAGTCACAAAGGTAGGCTGCTTGCATGAGATTGTGGTAAATTTTCCCTAATGTTACTGTGAACAAGGACGTGCTCACTGGCATGCCCTATCACAACTCACGTGAGCTATTCACCCGCCCATCCATTTTCTTATTTGAGTGATTCAAAAATCTCGAGTTAATCTTAGGTGAAAGTAACCAACTGTGTCAATTATTATGACAGTACTAAATTGTTTTTAAAATGCAAATTTCGCCCAGCGTCTCGCTTAGGTGGATGTTCTTGTGGTTTAACCTGCGGCGTGAATTAGAAAGGTAAACAAACTCTTCAAGAAATCTACACATAAACTATGTTATTAGAACTCAAAATAGAATCTCTGGACGAGCGTAAACCTGCCACAATTATACCCACAATCACCAATTTTAATTTCTTCTCACCACAAATGGATATAATATATACAATACTGTGCAGAACCAAACAGAGAGAACTAAATTAGAAACGGATCGTAAACACTTACGAACTCAACAAAAGCCTGGTTCCGATTAGCCCCGACGTTGCATTTAGTGTTGACGATCTTCCCGAATGGCTTGCAGAGCTCTACGAGCTCCTCGTCAGTGCACTCCCATGGCAGATTCCTCAGGTGCAGAACCTTCGACGGCGTCTGCGTGTAGCGAAACTGCGGCTGCCCCGAGGTCGACGACATCCTCTCGTCTATCTAGGGTTAGGGTTGCGCACGAGATTCCTCCTCCTTCGATCCACCGGAACGAGGAGATCGAATCGAGATGTGGAGCTAGGGTTAGGGTTTTGATGAAGGGGGTAAAATTTTGCGATTTCAGAAGAGAGACGAGGGCTGCGTGTTATCTGAATGGGATTTTGGTTTCTGGACGCCTCGGGCCCTCAACGGGGTCGGTGGGGTATTTAAGGAGATCAGGACCGTTCAATTGATCGCTCTTTGATAGGATCGGTCTGCAAGTCTTTTTTTGCCGTGAAAGCGCCAGCCCTAATTAAGATTTATAACACCTAGGAGTTTTAGGGGCTGATTGGTACATTTCCCAGAAACCCAAGTTTAAGAAATTATTCATGGAAAATAGGCCGTGGGATTTATTTTTATGTTTTTAAATTTATTTTATGATTTTTTGGGAGGAAATATGTTTGTTTTCTTAAATTTGGGACTCATGACGTTATTATCTTACTAGTGGATGAGTCTCACATGCGCATATCTTTTTCCCCCCTTTTTCAACCAAATATAAGAAAAGAAAGTCAAATATCTTCACATAGATGTGTTAGATGTTTTGATTTCCTTTTCTTAGTTAACCAAACAGCCCGTTATTTGGCTAAATTTTAGAAAACTTAGTTGCACAAAAGGGTTGTACGTTATTTTTCACAGGTATCATTTGTAATGCACAAAATGTTAGCGGGATTTGTGCAATTTACCCGATTTGAAATGCATAAAGACTAGTGGAGACGACCTCTGTCTTCTTTATACACTCAACTCCTTCGGACCTTCTCCTCTGCTCGTTGCTATTCCAAGGTTGGCCTCCATTCTTCTACTATCCATTCACGCATAAACTCAAACACCCCATCTGCTCTCTTCCACTCTTCAAATGTCCCATCTTTCTCTTCAAAACCAACCGAGAACGGCAAAACCGATGATTTAGTTTCATCAAAATCTTATCTTGGTATTGGGAAATCAGTCATTTCTAGGTGTTCTTACCTCTGGGAGGAGAAAGACGACGTCTTTGCAGAGAAATGGTCTCTGCAGGATATACTGAAAGCATATGGTCACTTGTCCCCTGAGACCACTCGCCGTTTCTGGCGAGTTTCGGTGTTGAAACCGAAAGATTTCCTTGATATATTAGTGGGTTTTGGACCTGATGTTCAGGATTTGAGGAAAGTGGGTTTTTTGTGGAAATTGTTCAGGTGGTGTAAAATGCAACATAGAGAGTTTAGTCATCTCCCTAGGTCTTTTGAGATTATGGGTACGATGCTCGTGCGAGCTCGGATGCTTAAAGATGCAGAATACTTACTCTTATCAGAAGAGGCAAGGGGAGGCTTTGTTGGTGATGGTTGGATGTTTAGTGAGATTATTCAAGGATATGTTAATGATTCAGAATTGGAGAATTCGATAGCATTGTATGACAAAGTGAGAGAGAGGGGTATAGTGTTATTAGCTTCATGCTATAAAGCTTATCTCAATCTTTTGGTCAGAATGAAGAAAACTGACTTAGCTGAGAGAGTTTACGCAGACATGATAGAAGTTGGATTAGGGTCACACTCTGAACACAATTTTGTAGACTTTGTAGTTGAAGCACTGAGCAAGAAAGGAAGGACATTTGAAGCGGTCAATATACTAAGAAAATTGAAGGGTTTCAGTGTTGAATCAAGTCCGAAAGCTCTCACTGCAGTTGCTGAGGGATATTGCAAAAAGAAAGATCATGAAGATGCACTTAATTTTCTGAAGGAGTGGAACCATATCCCAGAAGCTCGTGTTTGCAATAAAATCGTCTCTTCTTTGTGTAGTAATTTGAGTAGTGCAGAGGCATGGGGTTTTGTCGAAAGATTGGAGGATATAGGATTCGAGCCTGATGCTATAACTTTTGGGATCCTCATTTCTCAAAGTTGTCGTGAACGAAAATTGAGAGATGCATTCATTTTTTTGTCAGAAGGTTCATCTAGAAGTATAAAACTTGATGTCTATGCTTATAATGCACTTATCGGCGGGTTATTTAAGGAGGGAATGTATAGCTCTGTGAAGAATATTACTGAAGAGATGATCGAGAGTGGTCTGAAGCTGGGTCTAGCTACATTTAAAATTTTGTTGGCTGGATACTGCAAATATAGAAAATTCGATGACGTAAAAAAGATCTTAGAAGAAATGACAAATTGTGGCATGATTTCTCTAGCTCCTTCTGAGGATACTCTCTCCAAAGGTTTTCAGATTTTAGGTCTTAACCACTTGAAGGTGAAGGTGAAAAGGGATAATGATCTTGGACTTGCCAAATCAGAGTTCTTTGATTCGCTTGGAAATGGATTATACTTAGACACTGATGTTCAGGAGTACGACAACATCTTAGATGAGATCCTAGAAAATGGGATAATTCCTGATTTTGATTCTTTGATACTAGAAGAATGCTATAAAAGCCAT